AGAGAGAGAGAGAGAGAGAGAGAGAGAGAGAGAGAGAGAGAGAGAGAGAGAGAGAGATGCATGGAGACTGTGGTGGAGCCTCACCCTTTGGCACTGTCATAAATACAACCAGGTCCCGCTGTACAAACTTCAAAATGTCACACTCATCTAAAAGTCAGCAAACCCACTCGATAAGAATAATAATAAAAAAAAACAGTTCATAAATAGCGTTTATAAACATACGAGTGGCATTTGAGTGAGCACTGCGGTTACATCATCTGTGGAGTATGTTGTCTTAGCTTTCTCCCCAAAATAGTACACAAAAAAAAAACAACAGAGAACTGAGTTAAGTTTGTACACAGAGAAGCRTTTGTCTCCATCCTTTAAAAAGGCTCCAGATACTGTTTGGGTTTCTTTATTCATTTCCTCCCTGGAGTCTTCTGTCGTTTTATTCCAGCAGGCTCCTTCGTTTATCACTTTGCCTGGAGGCGGTAGCACTGAGGACTGTTGATCTGTGTGTGTGTGTTTGTGTGTATGTGTGTGTACAAGTAAGACAGAGCCCCAGTTTCAAAGACAGGAGTTTTTGTGTGTCAAAGCAGGTTCTTATGTACTAAAAGTTTACACATGCCACTGTTACTGTTGCTTGTACCTAGTGATCTTTGTACCAGCGTTGAATACAGTGTTTGCATGTGTGTGTGTGTGCGTGTGTGTGTGTGTGTGTGTGCGTGTGTGTGTCCTGTGATGACGGTGGAGAGAACGCACAACAGAGGGCAGCGAGCGTCTCTCACACTTCGCTCTCAGTGGAGGGTTTGCGTATGGAGGCCCAGCCGGTGTCGGGCAGGCTGTGCTGGGCGTGACGTTGCGGGGTGATGGCTGAGGGGGTCAGCGTGGTTATAGAGGAGCACTCGGACGCCTCCTCCTGGAGGAGCTGCTCGGTCTCGCCGTCGTCGAGCGAGGCGCTGCTGGCCTGCAGGGACACGGTGTCGGTCCGCATGCAGGTGTGCAGGCCGCCGCGGGACGGCTTGATTTGTTTTAGGTCATCCCAGTAAAGCTCTTCGCTGGACAGGAGGCACACCCCCTCCACTATGCGGATCTTCTCCTTCGTGTAGCCTCCGTCCACTCCCCCCTGGATCGGGACACATTTTGTTAATAAGAAAAGCTGTAATTTTAGAAAAATATAACCTGAGCTACTTATTATCGACGTTGTATTACAATGTGACCACTTTTAATAATATCCAACCTGCCCAGTTCCCTTTTTTATATCATTAAATTCAACTTACCATGAATAACTAACTTCAAAAGATGAACACATACTAAAACGTTACATATTTAGCCTGTTAGAAGTAGAATAATCAACAACAAGGCAGTTGAACAACACCCCAAAACCAGAATTCACAGTAAGTCACATATCCCGTTTTAAAGCTCATTTAGTAAAGCCGTGCATTTATTTGGGTTAGCTTCCTCCTTTCAGACCAAATGCTACATTGTTAGATGTGTGTAATGTAAATGTACTGCTCTCGTCTTTATTTAGCTTTTTCCATGTATGGTTTTTGTTTTGTTTTTTCCCCCCAAAAAAGCGGAACTTTGCATGCTTGGTAAATCGTCTATCCACTTGGTAGAAAACCTTTAAAGCCAGTCTCTCACTTGGCTGAGACTGGTACTGTGAAGGGAAAACTGGCTGTTCCAAAGGCAGCAGCATGGTTTGTTAGCCACTTGATCATAAACACTCAAAGAGAGACTGCATCACAATTATTTGCCACCAACTGGACACTAACAGTTGAAGCCCAGTACAATAAMCCTTTACAGTATCTCACTGGGCTGCAACGACGACTCGTCTCCACAATGTCTTGAGATGTCTGAGGGGCTTCTGTTTTCTATTGTGAGTCACAGGGTCTTGTGGTTTTGTTGCCTGAATTTTGAGCATGTTCAAAAAGTCTTAAAATAGTTCTATAGCGTTCAAGGGTATCTTAAACCCTTCTGAATTTAGGTTTTGGAATTTTATTGCTGAATTCTTGTGAAAGGCCACTTTGGGTTTTGATATTGTGTGAAATGTGGATGTATTGTTTGCATTTGCAAAATAAAATGTATCTTTGTAAGTGTTTGTGACAAAAACTCCTGTAATTGTTCAGCTGTGGTACAGAGCGCCCCTTTAGTTTTAGTTTTAYGGGAGTTTTTCCCAATATGCTCTCCATGTGCAACCTGCGTACTATTTGACAGGTGTACCCAATTTTCTCCGGACAGAGTCTCACATCGATAGGATAAGTGTTTGACACCACTTGGGGCTCGCCCACATCTCGTACATTATTCTCCATCTCCTTCAATTGGTGAGGTATTACACAGGAGCCACAAACTCTCAGTAAATATCTATTGAAGCCGTTGCTGCTTGTAGAGAAAGCACTACCTACTCTGCTTGAGTTTTAGGGGAAAAAAGTCAGTATTTTATTAGTTTAATGCCTGATTTGAATAGAACTGTGCTTTTAGTTTTCTTCAGTCTTAAAATCCGGGCTTATTCAGAAAACAGTTGAGGCTTCGGCCTAAAATGTGCAGGTCTAAAAACCACAGCAACTACGATTATTTAAGAACTGGTCCAAATGTGCTTATTTTTATTTCAAAAGTGATTAAAACACTTAGAGCACATCCTTAGAGCACATCCTTAGAGCCTTTCTATGCTGCCAGGAATCAGCATGGCCAGGGACCCTCCCTTGTCTGCTGCCAGGCATACAATGCATCTGACCTTGACCAAGTCGACATGGAGGTAGGCAGTGGACGACTTTAAGTATCTCGGTGTCATGATCACGAGTGATGGAAGGATAGAGCAGGAGATGGATCAATGGATTGAGACTTCATCCACAGTAATGAAGACGTTGCTTTGGTCGATCGTGGTAAAGAAAAAGCCGAGTCAAAGAGGCAAAGCTCTCCATTTACTGGTCTCTCTATGTTTACAGGTGTTCTGGGCATGTCTCATTGGTAGGAGGCCCCAAGAAAAACCTAGGACTCATTGGAGGGATTACGTATCCTCCAGCCTGGGAATGCCTCGGGGTCCCACAGGGCGAGCTGGAAAGTGATACTGGGGAGACGGATGTCTGTGTTTCTCTCCTGGACACTAAAAGAAACTGAGATTTGCACAGTTGAATGTGCAAACTGTGCAACATGGTTACACACAGAGTGAAACTGAAAATGTGCCTGGTGTTTCACAATAATGTAATTTTCAATTGTCACCAAGTCTTCAATAGTCTCAACCAAGTGAGACATTGGCTTAAAATAGAACAAATCCTGCCATGCTACTGATCACAATGACCACAGAACTCAGACACTTCACAAAAAGTGGTTTTAGTAATGTTGGATAAAAGCTTTCATGCAGTAGGAAACAGACACTACAATGAAAAAAAAACACATTAAAGCTAGACAGAAAAGCACTCTTTCATGCTGTGCAGCTACCTCTCCTTGGGACAAGTGGGTCAAAAGATAAAAGGAGAAAGGGAGTTGTAGGGATGAGAGCGCTGCAGTGAAGGGGGGAAAAAAAGGGAGATGATGAGTGCTGGTGTCTTTAGTCCATATGTGTCCCGATATTCCAGAACATTCAATCCAGTCCACAAACGTGTCATTTTCTATTTAGTTCCCCATAAAAAAAAGCCTAACCAGTCTGTGATTCAATAAGCGATCAAAGAAGAACACTGAATGTCTTTGCTGGGACTTCAGTGTCCATCTTGGTTCTTACCTCTTTCTTATATCGAAGCTGGTTGTAGATCGGAGGCTTCTGTGACGCTTCGATCTTCACCTCTTGTGTGGATGTTCGATACGAGGGGTTACTGTAGGTCAGATTGCTCACTCCCGGTTCAGCAAACTTGGACTTTTTGTGTCTGTTGATCAAGAACAATAAATAAATAAATAAATAAATAAATAAATAAATAAATAAATAAATAAATAAAAGCACCTGCCTCACAAACTGAATTGCCAAGTTTTTAAATCAAAGCAAGAAAATGAGAAGGTTGAGCCTTAAGCAGGAGACTGACCTGTAAATAATGAAAGCAGCGATGAGGATGAGAATGGCCAGGATGGTGAGAACTCCACCAATCACATAGCTGATGTGAAGGCCTTCTCCTGAAACAGACATTAGACATCTATGTTATTATATTTTAGTTAGGCATGTTCAACAAAGTAAGAATGTTCAGCTGCTATTTGTGACCACTCAGTTTATGTGATTGAAATGAATTCTTTTTTTTTATTTCCCTGAAATGTTGGGCTTTGAAGATACGATATTCTGCCTAACAGCAGCAATACATTCTTCTTCTACAGTACAAAAACTGTAAATACACACCTTCATCCAGCTGAGTTTTTTTTTATTTTTACATAACTGCGACTCCAGAATGTCCAATAGCACCAGTTGAGTTTTAACGTGAGCACTTTACTGTCAAGGATTTTTATGGTTTAAAGTCTCATTCTGTACAAACTCAGTAGTTCCACATGAGGCCACAGAACTCAAAGTTAACTGTTAATGGCTTCATGTGGATAACAATGTGGACAACAATATACAGAGAGTAAAATTGTAAGGTATTTACTAACTTTTAGTCAAGCAAGAAACTCATCCTAGAGCTTTCTCTGTATTCAAGCCATATGGACRAAAGGTACCATTTTAAAGCTATGTCAATGTGTCACATATGAGCATATATAAAGAGCAGAAGATGTGTACTGACCATGAGGGGCTGTTACCACTGTGCTCAAACAGCCTTCTGCATTTAGGTTCCTGTCAGTGCAGCTGTGAAAACCAGAAGGAAGCGCATTATGAAAAGACACATGATRTAATATACTGAGGGGCTTGCATCAGCCTTTAAAAACCTGTTCAGTGAAGATTTTGCTTCTGCTAGGATTTTAGGAACGGATCTAAACTGTATAAAGACCCTGTCACACTATAACGTTTAAGACAACTTATGAATATTTTTATGACTAAATAACTCATATAGGTTATGTGTCTGATCTAATTGTTAGCATTGCAGTACGTTTACATCCAAAAGAGGCTTCCAGTTGATGTTTTTTCTTCCATCCAGTGTAGACATTGTCAAAGTCGGACAAAAATTTCATAAGTTGTCTAAATTGTTATGATGTGAAGGGGCCTTAGTGTCCTTGTTGCGTAACRTTAACTCTGGAAATGCTGAAGAAGTCAGTAAGGAAGAAAAGCAGACATTCAGATGAACAAACAGGCGTACTTGACCAGWGGGGGTCCTCTGTGTGGGGTGTCGGTTGGAGTTTTGGGGATCTTTTTGGGTACCGGGGTGCTGCTGGCACCTTTGGCAGGAGAGGTTGGGATGTAGCCTGAAACTGAAAGAACACATGCAGGAAACAATGTAATTAGACGACAACATACTGTTTACTTTTGGTTATTTAGATGGCAAGACTTTTTACRATTTATTACACATCCTCCAAGCATGTTCTGTTTGCTTGTTCTCGGAGCTAAACTATATAAAATCATCCAAACCAAATAATGTAAGAAGTTTATAGCTTCATGGTGTCAGCACCACCTTATAAAACATGCAACTGTTAAACTACAACTCATGTCTTTGAAARCACAATTTTGTATTATTGTCAAGAACTGAAACAATTTTTTAAATATGTTTTTGTCGATTGACATAGATACATAATCATCAAGCCTGTTTTGAGGACTATCTTGACTAGACTGGCTTRGGTTTCCTGAGCTATCCCTGAAGTTAGTGGTGGTAACAACCAGCTACATTTTGATCTGCCAAGATTTGAAAATCATGATGCAATTTCCAGATGCACAACTTGGAAAACTGTCTTCTAGAACATGCACAAATCATTRCTGCCCAACGCATCGTACTCTCTTCACTCAGGTTTGCATCTATTATGGCAACCACCCCAACATTTCAGATTYAATGTACTGAGGTGCAATTGAGATATAAAAATAGGCAAATCAGAATCAAGTTTTATTAATAATAATTTATAACGTTTGGTTTTTAGACMTGGAAACTCAAAGCTGTAGCTTTGGATGTTTTCTGTCAAAAGAATATCTCCCTCGCAGGTGTTAAAGTACAGCTCAGAATTACAGAAACCAAACAGAGAATGGTTCAAGACTCTTGCCTCAACTCTACAACTACATTGAGAAAAAAAATCTGTTGCACAGGTTTTATTTTTTTTTGGAACATGTTCAAGGCTCACGCAAAAAAAACTGGGATCCTTTGTCAGTAATGCAAACAAATTGCCAACCTCTAAATGTTTCCTTCGCAAATGCCTTTCACCAACTAGTCGTCAACTTTGCGACATCAACTTTAGCAAAATTAAACTTACAGTAAGCTACAAGCTGCTAATTACATAGAACACTTACTTGTGGAGCAGGGTCGCCCATCTGGTTCATCTGGGCAGGCGCAAACAAAACTGTTGGTCTTGGCAAAGCAGAGGTGGGTGCATCCACCATTATTTACTCCACAGAGGTTAGAACCTAATTAAGACGAGATGGAATACTCTTAAGTGACATCACATTATTGTAACACAATTGCTTCTTTAATTTGGTTCATTTTACAAAGTGAGAATTTTAATGTAGTTGGCACCAAATAATATCATGACACTAAAATAGCGCATATACTGAAGGTCTTAAAGATAGATTAGTTAACTTTATTCTTGTTCACAGAGGAAGCCGGCAAATTAAAAAAGAAAAAAAATAGACTACTGAACGGGTTTCACCAAATGTCTGTTTTTGAAGTATCTGGTTATGAGATACGTTTTCATACTGCCAAAATACTTTAGTTATTCCTATAAAAAAATCACCACCWTAGCTTCATTGGTCATTCAATACTGTAAACAGAAAGAGGGCTCTGAGGTCTCTCACTGAACAAGGAGCACAACATTACCTGTCTGCCTGTGAGGAGAGACCACTATAATGTCCATGAGCCCCTCCACATTGGCCAGCACAGTTTCCTTATTCCGGCCAGTGTGCTTATCCACTCGTTGGATGGACTTTGTCTGCCAGTCCGTCCAGTAGATCCAACGGTCTTGCTGCGAGAGTCGGGAGAAAGGAGTTAGAGGGGAGGACACCGGCTTCGACTGGGGAAACCAGGGAGAAGAGAGGAGGAGAAAACACAGACAAGGAGCGGGGGGAAGTGAGAGAAAATAAAGGGAAGGGAGGGGGAAGAGAGGAGGAAGAAAAATGAGTGGAAGGAAAGTAGGAGAAATGGTTCAGTTGAATGGGTTCAGCATGAGCTGTAGGACGGAGAGACGACGAGGAGAGCCACGACAGTCACACGATGAGCCGATGAGTCAGAGAGCAGGAGAGTGGAGGAGGCAGCCAGGAGGACGGGGGCAGCACTGAGACTCCCGGCTGAGCAGAGGGGCGAGGAGGGGTGGGGTGGGTACCTGCGTGAGGGCGAACGGGTGGGACACGGGACTGACGAGGACCTGGCGCAGTTTCCCGTTCAGATCGGAGCTTTCGATCCGGTCCAAGTGGGCGTCCACCCAGAAGATCCTGCAGAGAACATCAAAGATTCTTAARACCACATAATCGCTACTCATTTCTTCTATATGAGAAGATACATGCTGTTAAACTTAAGCCACAAGTCCAAATACACACATTATAGCTTGAAAAGTTTATTTTCTTTACCATGTTTATGAAAGTCTTAATACAGCCCTACTAATCAAATGCTAACAGATTAAACGAAACATCCAAACAATTCCTAATGAGCTCAAGATGGTCATTATTTTTGTTTTTTAACATATTTTAATGTTATATAAAAAGCTAATACATGTGTATAATGATAATAGAAGGCTATAGTAACAGCTCACAATAAAGGCAATACCAACAAAGTTAAAGACCACTAAATACTATATATACACTTTTCTAGGAGCAATACTGCATGTACCAATAGACACTTCAATAACAGATAATTTTATCTTTATTTGTAGTTYATACTTACACATTTCGACACTCCTTACAGATTTAAGTGAAACTATTAAACCAAACCAACTAAACCTCTTCCATTTTCAAACTGCAAAACTGTTTTCTTTCTTCGTTTCAACTTGATTTCAACTTTAACTAAATCTTGTTTATGTTCAATCGCAATATGCAAATTTATTTACAGAATATACAATAGTTTTATTTTTATGTGGACAAATATCAGTATTAAATAATCTGATAGTTTTGTAATGTCCTTCTAGAAACCTTGGAGAAATACATATTTAAATCAGGCCTAATTAAACTGACAGAGGCGCTGTATAAAAAGGCAGCTACACAGGCTTTTCACACATGATTCTTCTTCTRACCTTCGTGTGTCGTAGTCTAAAGTAAGACCGTTGGGCCATCCCAGGTCCGTGTTGATCAGAACTTTGCGGTCTGATCCRTCAAGGTGAGAGCGTTCGATCTTTGCAATGTGTCCCCAGTCGGTCCAGAACAGAAACCTGCAGGCACATAGCAGAACTGATGAGAACCTAAGGTTTAAATGATTGAAAGAAAGACTGAAKAAAGAATTTAATTTTCCACAATGGTAAATAATGATAAACAAACTGTACTAATAAAGCTCCTTCCTATTCAACAACTATTCAGCTCAAAGCGCTTTAGACTACAATCTGTACCCTCATGCTTAAATTATATTCACACATTGTTGGGACACCCATCAGGGGCAGTGGASGTTCAGTGTCTTGCCCAAGGACATTTCGACTTGTGACTAAATAATGGGGGAATCGAACCGCCAAGTCTCTCATTTAAGGACAACTCTCCTAACCACTCAGCCACAGYCACCAAAGTCCTAAAACAGAAGTTTAACTTCATGTTTTTCTTTTTGCTTCTTTCYCCCGTCCAACATGAGTATGGCTTATTACTAGAATGTATGATGCAACATCTAGTGGWTTAAAGTCCAACACCCATTATTTGCTCATTATACATATCCAGTTAAACATACAGTAAAAGAGACAAACTATGTTCTGTGGCAAATGTTTAAGAGTAACRCAAGTTGGTTTTAGAAACACTTTTTTTGGACAATTTAAAGCCGTTTCGATTGCGGCTTTGGAAACAGCCCCTTCACTTCCATATATGGAGTGTGACACCAGGGCAGAGACCCAATCACAGGTACTATAATGGTGGGTGTTGGATTACAAACTGCAATCAACTGAATGCCTCTTCACTTAACTGTCCCTTTTCAACTGGCTAAAAAAAAAGAAGAAGAATCACACCAAGTGCAAATGACAAAAACCATAAAAGGCTCATTTGGGTCAAGTATATCAACATTACAGAGACACACTCTTACCCTTTACTTGGGAACACTGCAATGGCTCGAGGTTCATCCAAACTGTTATTCACCAGGACTTTGCGACTCGATCCATCCAGGCGGGCCACCTCAATGGTGTTGCGTCCAGTATCAGTCCAGTACATGTTTCTGGACACCCAGTCGACAGCCAAGCCGTCTGTGGTCTTGAGACCYTGACTGATTACTGTTTCCATTTCACTGCCATCCAGATTCGCCCGCCTAAGACACAGAGTAAATAACACAGCAAACTTTATTACAGGGTTCATGCAAGTTTCAGTAAGWTCAATTTAAGACCTTTTCAAGACCTTTTAAGACCATTATGCCTGACATTTAAGACCAAATCGACGCATTAATGGAAAAATTCAAATGGTCCCAGAAATTTTAACATAGAAACCTTTTATTGCCATCAATTTATCTATTAAAAAACATTTAATTTTCATACAAGAACACTAAATTATTTTAATGAAACAGTCATATCTATGAGATCTTCATATCGACGCTGTGGACCGCTTCCAACAGAGTAAAAAAAATCTTTGATATCAAGTCAAGTCTCATTGAAAACTAACTTTCCCACGTTTAAACAACAAGCAGTGGACATGACTGAACTTTGTTTTTTGAGCAGGTAAATAAGYCACWGTATGTGGGGGGTTGTAGCAAAGAGGTYRAAAACATGCAAGTAACTGTGCCATTTTTTGCCTGCAGTTATGACGGGATTTGTAGTTTAACTGCGTACCAAGACCG